TATTGGAGTTTACATGTGATGCTGTGTTGTTGTTTGGCAGAAGTATGCCAAATTGCTTACTTTTTTAAGTATTTTGGTATTATATAGAAGTCTTAAGAGAGTTGTAATAACATTTTTTTTGTTGAATGTTTGTTGTTTGTTTAGAACCTGTTTTACTATTTTGTTTGTTCATAGTATACATATTTGAATTAAAGTTAAGAACATATATTGAAATATAATTATCTATTTGTTATTCATTTGGTTACTGTAATAAAACTAGGTTCTTAAAGAACCAGTTTGTTGTTGTTTTTTTGTTTTTCTGTAGTAGGTATTTGTTTTTGTTATGTTAGATGTTTCTATGTCTATTGACTTATTGTTTTTGTTAGCTACTTTAAGTTTTTCTTTTAGGATATTTATTTCTTTTACTTTTTATTTTTTACTTTTTTCTGATTTTTTGCAATTTTTGATGATCAGTAAAAAGAGTTTTTTTAAATACTTATTTTAATATTAAAATATATATATATATTTTTATTGTTATAAAAATAAAAAAAAAACAATCAGCAACTCTTTCTAATGATTATTTGAACCAAACTTTTCAAAAAACTAAACTACAAAAAAATAATATAGTTAATATATTAAACTTTATAAAAACTTTTTGAAATACTATACATATATAGTTGTATATTAAAATAAAGTTAAAAAAAAAGTTGCAGTTTTGTAGTAATAGTTTTAAAGCACTCTAGAACTATAGAAAAAGTAGTCAGTAAAAGCCAAAGTTTTTTATCAAATAAACAACAAAGTTGAATATATTAGTTCTATATAACTATAAAACTATAAAAAATACTTAAAAGGATTAAGAACTTACAGAAATTACAAAGTTGGTTTACCTTTTGTTTTTACTTTTTATTAAGAAAAATTTTGTAAAAAGTGTATAATTTAGTTTATTTTTTTCTAAACAGTTAGCAGTATTTACTTTATAAACAGATTTGTTAACAATATAAATTAGAAATAATATAGTAATACAAATATAACTATTTAAAAATTTGTTAATACTGCCTCTAAACTAACTAGTATCTTATATCACTTCTTTATGACCAAGTCAAAGTTTTTGCTTTTTTATAAGATTTTTTGTTAAATAATCTAAATAAATAGAAAAATAGTAGAGGTATTTCTAGTTTATAATTTTTAAAAAGCCTAATATTATAGAATAAATTATTATTATTATTTTTTATTTATTACTTTAACCTATAAGAAAATTTCTTATTAAAGATATTACTTCTAATTTAAACAAAATTAAATTTGCTAAAATAAATTACAAACAAATTATATATATTATCAACAATATTATTCTTATATATGCTGTATAACTAAAAATTTCAGGCAACTCTTCTTGCCAATTTCTAATCTTAAAGCAGAGCAGAAACAAAATATAAAATATGACCAAAACAGAATAGCAAATAGTCCTTGGGCTCTTAAGAAAAAAGAGTTTATATTCAAAAATACATAAATGACAGTAGAAGTGTAATACTAGGAAATATATCTCTAACAAACTAAACTTGTTTTTGGAAAAATTTTCTTCTTTTAGTATAAAACTTGAAAGTTTGGAAAATTATGATTAATTATAAAAAAACAGAAGAAAAACATATGACTAACTAAACAACAACAACAACAAACAACAAACAACAAAGTTATATTTCTAATTAGAAAATAGATAAATAAGCTAGTAGTAAATAGTAGCATAATACAGAATGCATATAAACAACTCAAAAAAGAAATTGTACAAAATAGAAACTTAACAAATAGATCAAATAGATCAGACTAATAATACAGACATTATGTACTACATTAAGAGAGCAGATAATAAAAATTGAAGATATTTAAATTCTGAATTGTTAGATCAAATTCTAACAACATCTGCAAAAGAACCAAGTAATATAAAACATATAGCAAAGAATCTAGCAATAAACAACTCAAACTATATTATACTAAGTAATATACTACTCTATGAACAAATTTTTAAAGCTTTGAGTTTAGCAGAATTAAGTTAGCTTGAAGAAAATATAATAAATAAATGAGCACAAAAACTTAGGCTGATAAATTAGAACCCAAAATCTGCTAAATATATTAAAAACATAAGTAAAGAAGAAATACTTAAAGAAAAGAGAAAAATAAAAGAAATAGAAAAACTGAACAGTATAGAAAAAATGCAAATATCAATAACAAAAAAAAGATGTTAAGATGTATCAAGAGAAAAAACACTTTAAATAAAACTAATCCAAATAATAAATAAAATTGTTAGATAAATAGAGAGCTTAACATTAATATACTACAAGATATGTAACAAAAAAGTTTATCAAACACAAACCAAACTCTCATAAACAAATCAAATAAAGCAAAAAAAGCAAGAAAAAAAAGAAAAGAAGAACACAGAAGCTTTTAGAAATAATATTATTCATGATGTTAGGAAAAATATAAAAAAAATTAATAAGAAAATAATAAAATTAAAAGAAAAAAACATGACCTATGAAGATCCAATTTTTATCAACACAATTGAGCACAGTCAATGGTTACTAGAAATAAAGTATATAAGAAGAACATGTTCTTCAAGGCAAACATGTTTGCACATATCTTGCTAGAAGAAATAAGTAATAAAAGGATAAAATACATATAATGGATCTTGGATAAAAACTATCATATTAAAGTAATTAAAGAAGTTTTTAAGAATGAAAACAATTAGATAGAAATAAACTTTGATTGTGAACATAGTCAAAATACAGCAATAAACAAAATTCAAAAAAAAGAAAGATAAATGGCTTAAGCTTATTCTAGAAAAAGAGAGGAACAAAGAATCAAAACTTAAACAACAAGTCAAAAATAAAAACAAAAAGAAAAAGAAAGATACAAAAACTAACACAAAAGAGAAGAATATAAAAAGAAAGAAGACTTGTTTATAACAAAAAATAAGATAAAATTTATATAACTGTTTTACAATATAAAACTTACCTATAAACATCAATGTAAAAGAAATTAAGCATATGTGTAAAAGCTTTAAGAAGATACAAATAATATACATTAAAAAATCTAAACACAAAACATTAGCAATAGTTCAAGCAGATCAACTTACTGATAAGAACATTCTGTAAACCTTAGCAATTAGTATTCACAAGTTGGTAAGAGTAATCAAAGACAATAAAGATTACATCCAACATAATTTTTAAAACTTGTTTACAACAAGACTAACAGGGTTTCTAGGCAATACTTTAGAAATATTGCTACTATGCTACTTAAAAAATAAGAAGACAAAATTAGTTTAAATATCATCTAACTGAAATAAAAACCAAAGAAGGATAACAACAATCATCTTTGCATCAAAAGAAGAAATAGAAACAGTACAATTCAAACTAATAAGATTTAATAACTACCTTTTATATTGGAAAAACTTTTAGGAAAAGTAGAATAGAAAAAAAGAAGATGTGATAGTCAAAGACATCCAAATACAGAAGACATATATATTAATATAAATGAAGAACAGAAGATTGATAAAAAAAGAAATGACCAAAAGAAAAAACAACAAAAGCAAAGATGATAGTTGAATAAAGTAAATAGAAGAAGATAATCCCAAACTACAAATACAAGATTTGCTTCAAAAAATCTTAGAAAGATTAGACAGACTTGAAATTCAATAAAATAAATCAATAGAAAAAATATAACTAGGAATAAGAAATAGTCCAGTTGATTGCTCCTAAGGGCATCTTAATTGAACTAATGAAAACAGATGAAAAACTTGAAGGTTTTCTATAAAGAGAAGGAGAAATATTTGAGAAAAGTATAACTTCTTACCAAAAAGAAAAGAAATTTAGAAAAGAAAAAGAATGAATGAAAATCATAGAAGTAGAACAAAACCAATTAAAAGAAAAATGGAAATAAGAAAAGAAAGAGATTAAAATAGTATATCATAATATTAATAAATTAAAAACCAAAGGATAGAAGCTTGAAAATCTACTTAACTAAACAGAAAAAAAGAAAATTGTAATATTAGGAATTATAGAAATAAACATTACTGAAAAAGAAGAAAGGCTTCTAATATATGTATTAAACAAAGACTATATAGGATATTGGACAAACATGATAGAAGATAAGAAAAAAGGATCAGATATAAGAATTCTAATAGAAAAACAATGAGAAAAACATGTGTGTGCAGTTAAGAGAATAAGTAATACATGATAGAGGTCATACTATACTTCAAGCAATTGGAATTAGTAATGATAGAAATCTATATATCATTAAATAACAAGATGATAAGAAAAAACATTCAACAAAAAATTATAGAGACAATTATCAAATGGAAAAGACAAACACAAGTTATGATTATAAATGACTTTAATTATATAATAGATAATATATTAGATAGATAATACTTATAAGTAACAAGTTTTAAAAGACTACTAGTCTTTAATTGGATGAAAAAACAAAACTTCATAGATACATATAGAAATATATATCTAACAAACCAAAATTATACATAATCAAACAAGAAAACTATAACAAGAATTGACTGTATTTGGATATCAGAAGAACTGACTTAGGTTTGCAAAAGACAAATATTGAGGAAACAGAAAGAATTACAGAGAATGATCATAAAATTATAATTGCAGAAATATGGATTAAACATATAATAGGGAAAAACAATAAAATAGAGGTTAAAAGAAAAGAATAATCAAGAACATTATATTTATATGATCAGGTAAAACTAGAAAACTGAGAAATTTATGTGCAAGAGCTGCACAAGCAATTAGAAGTAAAAGAAAGTCTAAAAAACATTCAAACAGAAGTGCAAGATATAGAGGAACATATAAACAAAATAATGGTATATAGGATATCATAGAAGAAACAATTATCACTGCAACCAATAAGCATATACCCAAAAAAAGAATATACAACACACAACCTTTAGGATTAGGATTAAGTCACATTAGCGTTAAGGAGAAAATTTTTTGCTTAATGATATCTACAGGCGTTCTTTAGACGACCTCCTTATTTGGAACGGTCTCCCCTGTTCAAACCGATCATTCACTACCCAAAAATATCCGAACGCTTCAACAACTAGTGCTAGTACGGCTTAGTGTAGCTGTATTTGCTTATTTATCTCATATAGAGCTAAAAAACTTTTTTAGAATGTATCGTTTGTTATTCTCACGTCACTTAGTGGCAAAAGTTCGTGTAACTGTTCTCAAAAATCATCGGATATAATACTAAATATATCAACACTCTAAAATGAATAATGCAGGTAATACGTATGATTTGGTAGCTTTACTATATTTGTCTGTCAAATAAATTTTAGGATGATAATAGTTTTAAACTACTTTACTTCCGAATAATAAATTATTTTGCAGCCGAATTGTAATTCGTCAGGATAAATTTGATTTGTTATCATTCATGCAGATATTGCCTTACAACTCATTTATTCAGTCGAGGATTTAAGATCTAGTTTAAGAAATTAAGGTATTCAATTTTAGACTGAGATTAATCTTTGACCAAGTAAATCCTTTATTACAGTATTAGATTGATAACTTATTATAAATTGGGTATATTTTTTGCCATATTTAATTTATTATACAGTATATATATTTACCAATTGCAACGTTGGATTAAGTTCGAATCCCCTAGCGTTAGCATTAACTTTAAGTGCTATCTTTTTAGGCTAATTCATACTAGAATTAGATTAATTGAGTGGTACAAATTATATTTTATGTCTGAAGTAGTTTAGAATCCCGTTTCATCACACGTGGGTTAGTACTGTACGTACAGTATTTATGTACGCGCAAGTATGCATATGTATTTCAACTTTCTTTAAGTAAAACATATTCTTATCGACGATTCGTAACACGTTCGTACAACATTAAAACTGCGAATTTAACATGGTGGCAGTGTTTAGGGCTTGGCATTTATAAATCTTAAAATCTGAATATCTTCGTAGATAAATTTAATATAACATAACAAAATTATGTATCCACTATTTCGTCACAGAGTCCTTATTACTATTCTTCTTGGTATAATATTCCTTTTCACATTCTGGCCAACTAACAAACAATTAAACAGGCCATTATATGTTACTTCTCCAATAAATAAAGGTGCAAAAACTAACACCGAACCAGGTCCAAATATTGATGCCATTAGGTCCACAATAATAACTGATGTATCTGGTAATCAAAAGGAATATCTAAACTCTAAAGGATATATTACTTTTCTTAGTATCTTTAAAAAGCAACATCAAGCAATGCTCAAAAATCTTATCAGGAGTGCAGATATTGCCGTAGCAAATACAAGTGTTTATTCTGTCATTTTGAAACCACAATTACCGCCATCTAATGATCCACATGATTATATGTCATTATCAAGATATTTCTGGCCTGATCCAACGAAATCTGACGGTTTACCATACATTAATAAAGATGGTTATTCTAATCCAGAATTTTTTGCTGTTACGGATTATGTTTTATTACGAAAGATGTTTAAAGATGTTCTGGATATGGGTTTTGCTTATTTTTTTACAAGAAATGAAACGTATGTAAAAAAATCTATGTATCGTATAAAAGAATGGTTTTTGGATGAAAAAACAAAAATGAATCCAAATCTTAATTATGCTGGATTGAGAAAGGGTGATGCTATGGGATTGCACACGGGTGTTTTAGATTTTCATCAAGTGTTCAGGTAAGATAGAATAAAAATTCCAATTATTAAATCTATTTAATATCTACTTAATTTATTATTTATTTATTTTATTAGAATGTTACAAGCTATCACTCTCTTACGACATTCTCATTTATGGGACCAATCAATTGAGGTTGGATTAAAAGAGTGGATGTCTGAATATTATGTTTGGTTTTCCACTTCAAAACTTGGAAGAAAAGAGGGTAAAGCATTCAATAATCATGGGACATTTTACGACATGCAAGCCTTATATTTATTGGAATTTCTTGGTCGTCATGATGAAGCCAAAGAATATGCACAAACTAGTATCAAAAATAGAGTAGATAAAGGTATTCTACCAAGCGGTGAACAACATTATGAAACAGAACGAACGGCAAGTTGGTTTTATTCAATTTTTAATTTACAAGGCCTATTCTTGCTAGCAGAAAGGTGTGACCGTTTTGGTTGTACGATTAACGGTCAGAGTGGATGGAATTATGAAGGTCCAGAGAAACAAAGCATTCAGAGAGCTGTAGATTTCTTATTACCATTTGCGCTTAGTGGCGGGGAAGGTTGGACAAAGAAAAATATCAAAGGATTTGAGATTAATGATTTTGTAAAATTATTAGAGTTATCTTATATAATCTATGGAGAGGAAAAATATCTTGAGGCTATTGAAGAACTAAGACCTGTGTCGAAAGCTGAACAAGCAGCAGGGTTTAAACTTGCAAAGTGGGAAGATAATTATCTTTGTAATTTAGCCATGATGACAAATAGGATGTTATGGAGCTGTTTGTATTAATTACATATAAATTAAAGTATTTAAATGGAAATATGTAAAATATCTATTGTCGACAAATGACGTACCCCTACGCCTTATTTCAAAATAAAAAATCAAAATTTGAACTCTGTGTATATATCTATCAGTAAGCTAATACCTTATTAAGATGCACGTTATTTCGGAACGCGCAATTTTCGAACGTTAGTTTGGAAATTTACCCTCAGCAGGAAAGATGATTTTGGCGGTTATTAATTCATAGTCTCTAATTATTCTGTAATTTCGAAATAATTCTGCAAAAATTTATTTATTGAAGTTTAAATATATGTATATTCTTTTTATTAAAAATATCCTGTAAATTTTTTTGGTTCTAGACCAAGAAAAATGTCTAATTTTTGTTACTACATATACATTAAAAATAATGATTTTATTGAAAATTTTTTTTTTCCTTAAGCAGTCATGCTAGTATTTATTTAGATTTTGAAATTACATTTGCAATTACATAAATATCCTTAATAACTAAGTCTAGCATCACCCGACCATCTTAATAGTACCTAAGTGCAACCTGTCACATTACTTCAAGCAGAATTAAGCTGCTTGTTTAACTACTTAAAGTTCATAATGGAAGGGTCTTCTTTCTTCTATGACAAGCCTCAACATTATCTTTCTGGTTTCTCTTTTGATTGGTTTTACCTTCTTTCTTGTTTTCTCTTTTCTTTCTTCTATTTTTTGCTAATTTGTTTCTTTTTTTTTTTATTTGGTTCCTTTCTTTTTTTTCTATTTCTCTTTTGCTTTACCTGTTATTTCTATTTTCTTTTTCCATTTATTAATTTTTTCATATTGTGTTTTTCACACCTATTTATAAAATATGTTCTAGGTTGTTTTTATGATTATCTTCAGAAATTACTGTCTTGATTTCCTATTTGGGAGTTGTGTTTACCTGTTCTATGTCTCTTTTGAGATTAGATCTTTAATTAGTGTTTCTTTTTTTTTAATTTTCTCTGTTTCTGTTTTTCTAAAGAGTGCTATGTATAATATATATAAAGGGACTTAGATTTTTTTTTCTTCTTTCAATCTTTTTATAC